AGAAATTCATGATTTTGTTCTTTCTTATGGCTGCGTAGTATTCCATTGTGTATATGTACCACATTTTTTTAATCCAGTCCTCTTTTGATGGACAGCATGGTTGCTTCCAGGTTCTTGCTATTGTGAACAATGCTGCGATAAACATATATGTGCAGGTATCTTTTTTATAGAGTGATTTGAGTTCTTCAGGGTATATTCTCAGTAGGGGGATTGTGGGGTCATATGGGAGGTCAATATTTAGAGCTTTTAGGAATCACCATACTGTTTTCCAAAGAGGTTGCACTAGTTTGCACTCCCACCAACAGTGTAGAAGTGTTCCTCTTTTGCCACACCCTCTCCAGCAATTGTTATTTTTTGAGATATTGATAATTGCCATTCTGACTGGAGTTAGGTGGTATCTCAGTGTGGTTTTGATTTGCATCTCCTTGATGTGTCTGTTGGCTGCTCAGATGTCTTCCATTGAGAAGTGTCTGTTCATATCTTTTGCCCACTTTATAATGGGGTTATTTGGTTTTTTTCTTTTCAGCACGTTTGAGTTCCTTGTAGATCCAAGATGTTAAGCCTTTGTTGGACCTGGAGTTGGCAAATACTTTTTCCCAGTCTGTAGGCTGTCTCCCTGCTCCCTTGATGGTTTCTTTGGCTTTGGAGAAGCTTGTCACTTTAATGATGTCCCACTTGTGTGTTTTATCTCTTATGGCCTGTGAGTTTCGGGTTTTGTTCAGGAATTGGATGCCAGTTCCAATTTCCATGAGGGTATGTCCTTCATTTTCGAAGGTTCTTATGGTTTGAGGTTTTACATTTAGGTCTCTGATCCATTTAGAGTTAATTTTTGTATATAGGGATAGATAGGGGTCCTGTCTAGATGTGGTCAGCCAGTTTTCCCAGCACCATTTACTGAATAGGTTCTCCACTCACCCAGGTAGGTGGTGAAGGCTTTGTCAAAGATGAGTTGGTTGAGAAATTGAGGTTTCGCTTCTGGAATCTCAATTCTATTCCATTGATCTATATGCCTGTTCCTGTACTAATACCAAGCTGTTTTGATAATTGTAGCTTTATAGTAAAGTTGGAAGTCTGATAATGTGATACCACCTGCTTTCTTTTTTTTTTTTTGCTGGGGATTGTTCTGGCTATTCTTGGTCGTTTGTGTTTCCATATGAATTCCTGTGTTGTTTTTTCTAGGTCTGAGAAGAATGTTGCTGGTAATTTGATGGTTATTGCATTAAATCTGTAGATTGCCTTAGATAAGATGGACATCTTCACAATGTTGATTCTTCCAATCCATGAGCATGGGATATTTTTTCCACTTCTTTGTGTCATCTTTGATTTCTTTGAGCACTGTTTTATAGTTTTCATTGTTAAGGTCTTTCACGTTTCTGACTAGAAAGATGCCAAGGTATTTCATTTTTTTGGTGGCTATTGTGAATGGAATTGTGCTTTTTATTTGGGTTTATGTTTGTTTATTACTGGTGTAAAGAAATTGATTTTCTTTTGCACATTTATTTTATATCCTGAGACTTTGCCAAAGTCCTTTATCAGTGTAAAGAGGTTTTTGACAGATTCTCTTGGGTTTTCAAGGTACACGACCATGTCATCTGCAAAGAGAGATAGCTTGACCTCCACTTTTCCTATTTTAATACCCCTGATTGCCTTCTCTTCTCTGATTGCCCTAGCCAGGACTTCCAATACTATATAGAACAGGAGGGGTGAGGGTGGGCATCCTTGTCTTGTTCCCGTTTTCAGCGGAAATGGTTCCAGTTTTTGTCCGTTAATGAGTATGCTGGCTATGGGTTTCTCGTAGATGGCTTTTACTATTTTGAGGTATGTTCTCCATATGCCTAGCTGTTCGAGGTTTTTATCAAGCAGGGGTGCTGGATTTTATCAAAAGCTTTTTCTGCATCTAATGATATAATCATGTAATTTTGTTTTGACATCTGTTGATGTATTTAATTACATTTATGGTTTTACAAATGTTGAACCTGCCTTGCATCCCAGGGCTGAAGCCCCCTTGGCCATGATGGATGATTTCTGAGATGTGTTGTTGAATCCAGTTCGCTAGGATTGTTGAGAATTTTAGTATTTATGTTCATCAAAGTTATTGGCCTGTAATTCTCTTTCTTTGTTGGGTCTTTACCTGGCTGGGTATCAATGTGATGTTAGCTTTGTAAAATGATTTGGGGAGAGTTCCATCTTTCTCAATTGCTTGGAATACCTTCAGTAGGATTGGTATAAGCTCCTCCTTAAATGTCTTGTCTAGAATTCTGCAGGAAAGTCATCTGGTCCACGGCTTTTTTTGGTAGGTAGTTTTTTTTTTATTACATAGTCCATTTCCTTGATTGTTATTGGTCTATTTAGGATTTCAATTTCTTCTTGTTTCAACCTAGGCAGGTTGTGTGATGACAGAAAGTCCTCCATTTCCGAAAGGTTTTCAACTTTGCTTCCATACAAGTGTACATAGTAGTCTCTTATGATCTTTTGTATTTCTTCAGGATCAGATGTGACTTCATCTTTTGTGTTTCTGATTGTGTTTATTTGGGCTTTTTCTCTCTTTTTCTTGGTTAGTCTAGCTAGGGGACCATCGATATTGTTTATCCTTTTGAGGAACCAGCTTTTTGTTTCATTGATTTTTTTTTTTTTATTATCTTTTTGTCTTCCATGTCCTGGATTTGGGCTTTTATTTTGGTGATCTGGATTCTGCTGAAATTAGGGTTTTTGTGGTCTTGCTTTTCCAACTTTTTTAGGTGGCTTCTTAGGCTGTTAATTTGTGATCCTTCCATTTTCTTCATGTGCATTGGAAGGGATATAAATTCCCCTCTTACTACAGCTTTCATGTCGTCCCCGAAATTTTGGTAAGATGTTTCTTCATTTTCATTTATTTCCAGGTATCTTTTAATCTCTGTCTTGATTTCATCAACAACCCAGCAGTTGTTTAGCATCATGCTGTTTAGTGTCCATGTCTTTGTGGGTTTGGGGGGGACCTTGTTGGTGTTATTGATTATTTTTATTCCACTGTGGTCCATTTATTCCATTTTTCCATTCTATGTCTTTTCAGTGGTGCATTTAATTCGTTCACATTCAAACTAATTATTGAAATGTGAGAATTGATCCCTATCATAATGTTCTTACAGAGTTGTTGTTCTTCCTGTTTGTGTGAAATCTTTCTATTGGTTTTAGAGTTGGTTCATGTGTGTTTTTAATCTTTTGCCTGTACTCTTGTGAAGAATGTTGTTATTTTTTACTTTTCTTCTGTGTTCAATACTTTCTTAAGTGTTTCTTGTAGAGGTGGTCTTGTGGCAGCGTAGGTCCTTAGGGATTGGATATCTGGGAAAGATTTCAATTCTCCCTCACTGATGAAGCTTAGCTTGGCTGGGTAGGTTATTCTCGGTTGAAATTGCTTATCTTTTAGAACTTGGAAGATAAGGCTCCAAGCTCTCCTAGACTGGCGGGTTTCTGTAGATAAATCTGCTGCTATTCTAATTGGTCTCCCCTGGTACATAATCTGACCTTTTTCTCTTGCACCCTTTAGGATTTTTTCTTTTATACCTACTTTGTTTAGGTGAATTATTGTGTCTGGGCATTGGTCTTCTCATTTGTTGTCTTGCAGGGGTTCTCTGAATCTCTTGTGTTTGAATTTTTTCAACCTTGATGAGATGAGGGATGTTTTCTTGAATGATTTCATGAAATGTTTGTTCCAGTGTGGCCTCTGTTTCTCTCTCTGCCTCAGGAAGGCCAACTACTCTTAGGTTTGGTCTCTTGAAGTGATCATTCATCTCTTGAAGGTTTTGTTCTGTCTTTTTTAGCTTCTTCTCTATTCTTTTGACAGTTTGGGTTAGTTCCGTGTTTTAGTCTTCGAGCTCTGAGATTCTATCTTCTGCTTGGCTAATTCTGCTTTCCATGCTTATTAGTTTGTAATTTATTTCCATCACAGTATTCTTTACTGCTGTTATTTCTGACATCAGCTCCTTCCTATTTTCCTCTTGTCTCGCGTCAATTTTTAAAAATTCTATTAATGTCTTGATGTCTGGGTTTGTTGCATGTGACCAGTCATTCTGGGGGCTCTTCATTGTTTGTGTTCCAGAATCTGTTTTCTCAATGTCTGATCTTCCAGGGGTCTGTGTGAGACCTATATTCTTCTTTTGGTTTTTCTTCATTTGTGCGGTTTTTTTCCCCCTCCCTACTTTTTCCTTCCCTTCATGTCACCATCTTCTGTTTGTTCAATCTCCTATTCTTTATGTATGCCCTCTTACTTTGTTCAATTCTGGAGTTGTACTGTAGGTTGGGGGTGGTCGTTTTTGCAGTTTTGAGATTTACTTAAGGGGGGAGCTGTGATTCAAAATCTATCTGCAGGTTCTGGTATTTGCCTACAGGTGTGTAGATAATCTGAAACCCACTTCCCACTGCCTTGGAATCTGTCTGTGCAGTGGGGCTGTAGATTTACTCCCTGAAATAAAATGTGGTTAGCAGAGGGAAGAGAATGGAGCAGACAGTGGGGGGAAGAGAAGGGTGGAGAGAGAGAGAGGAGTAAGGGGAAAACAGACAAATGTGCCAACAAATGGAGAGAGAGACCTAAACGGAAACAGATAAAAACAATAGACCATGACTACAGGCTAACCAACTCCCATACAAAAAATAAATAAAACTTATAATGATGTTAACATACAGGCTAACCAACCACCTTATTGGTGTGCTGTTCCTCTATACAAAGAAATGGTTTACAGAGAGGAGAAAAGAGAAAAAAAGGAAGAGGAATAGGAAAAAAAAGGAACTAAACAGTAGGAATAGAATTATGTCATTAAACTAACAGAACCAATCAGCCACACTCTGAGACTTTTCGTTTAAGTCCAGTGTCCTTTCAGCTCTGATTTCTAGCTGTCTTTTCAAGCTGGTAAATTAGTTCGCAGTTAGGTCAGTTGCCTCTGGCCTGCTGTGAAGGACAGTTCATATCACCCTCAGTTCACCATTCAAATCTGGCCTGTTTTTCAAGCTTGTTTCTCCCTTTTCAGTGTTGTTACCTTGTATTGCCAGCAGGTGGTGCTATCTCAGCTTCTCGCCCCAGAGGGGTGGAGCCAGACAGGAGTTGGCAGAGCCCAGAGATGGGAGCCTGCCTCAGGGCACACAGGAGGAGACCCACAGCCGGCAGCTGGTTACGGTGGCAGCAGAGGTGGCAGCAATCCTAGCAGATCTTGCCTGCAAGGGCTTCAAGGACTGAAGTCGTGGATCGCCTCAGGCACAGGTGGCGCGATGCGCTATGGCTGCCATGGAGGCCTCGGCAGTGCTGCGACTGCTGTGTCTGCGACTGCAGTGGCCGTCCAGACCGCTGTGTTGCTCCAGCGGTGGTGACCACTGAGCTCGTGTGAACAGCAGGCTTCCCACGTTGGGATCCGCAGACCCCGGGGAGAGACCCAGAGACCAGGCTGCCCCGTCGCCATCTTGCCGGAGTCTTTAACAATTGACTAAAATCTCTCTAAATGCTTGAAATCATGGCATCTTAGTGGTTAAGAGCTTGGACTTACTAGTCAGGTTTCCTGGAGTTAAACCCTGATGCCATCGCTGATTATCTGCAGCGTCTCAGACAAGCTGTTTAACCATTATCTGTGTTAGTTTGGCAACAGCAGATAGCATGTGACATCTCTTACAGGAATGTTGTAGGAACAATTAGATGACGGCCATAAAGTCCTCAGCATCATTCCTGGGACATAGTATGCATTCAATAAATATTACCATTATTTTTCATGTTTTAGAAATATAAATATATCACAAAGCTTTCTTTTACTTTAGTTTTTTTTTTTAATGTTTTTTCTGGTTCTCATTCTATAGGATCTTAAATCTTTCCTAAAAGCAAACCAAACAGTTATATAATCAATATTTTTCTAGAACCCACATCTTCTTTTATGGTTTTATCTTTCTGTTTGTTTCTGTAGGACTTCATCGTCACTGTAGTCTTTTTATTCTTGTGGTTGGTGGGTTCATCTGCTGGGGCAAAAGGACTGTCTGATGTCAAAGTTGCCACATATCGCAAGGAAGTATTGTTACTGATGTCAGTTTGCGAACAGCCATCCAACAAATGCATGGCTGTCCACAGCCCTGTTATGTCCAGCCTAAATACTTCTGGATAAGTACACTTTCATCTGTGTTTTAGTTCTCATCTTTGTTTAACAGTTAAATGAATAAAAAAAAGTCAGGCATCATCTTGAGAATGTTTGCCTCCAATACTAGGCCAGTCAAAAAGGTGATATTTCACTTCAGGTGCAAGATGATCATTTGGCCTTCAAGTTTTTTGTTGACAGAATTTATCATCTTTAATGCTGCCAGCTACTGAGTTCTTAGTAAGAACCGAGTTCTTAGAAAGAACCCAGCAGGTATTAGCAGCTGCTGCTTAGATGACAGTCCAGTTGAAACTCTAAACCAGAAGCAAACATAAATTCTGGATGTTAAGGCTGAAGCCTGCCAGAAGTTAAAAAAGGAATATTTGATGACATACACGTTCCTGGGCAGAAAATATTGCTCAAGCTATATGTAAGTTAGAATACATTCAATTGATTAGAGAAACATACACAGACCTAGTAAGGTGCAACAAAAAACGCATGGTATAAAAAAGTGTTTATAATAGTTATGAAAAATTTTAATTTTTCTCCATTTTCCTGGCTTAGTTGCTTAATAACCTCAAAAAAGCTGCACTGTATTAGTTGAACAAATATTATCACCAATGTATGGCTCTTTTAGAAAGAAAATCTGGCAACAGGGACACTAAATCAGATTCTTAATTTATAGGTATTTATAAACTAAGTTATTTCAAAGAAACAAGTCGACTTATACCTGAGAAAGACAAACTAATGGCAGTAAAAAGCAGCAGTTATCAAAGAATAGAGACTCAGTAGTGTTTGCTGAAGGCATAACATTCTTTAGCAAACTCTAAAAATAATGATCTTTGCTTTAAGATTAACCTGTGTTTATATGGTTTTCTGAAATTCAATTTGGGAAGGAACTTTTGAAAGGAAAAGTGGTTGCTACTCTAATTTTACTGTGAATCGTGTCTTGGTAAGATAGTAACCATGGAAATAAACTCTGTATTAGGGTCTCACAATCATTTTTATTTACTACTAGCTGCATCTATAGATGAATAATTTGAGATATATATTAACATATATAATTATGCTTCTGTAATTTGTTTATATACAGTATTCAATGAAAGTTATTGTAACCCTGATCTCAAAATCCAAGAGGACAAAGATAATTGCTTGATGTGTTTGTTAGTTTAATAATTAATCTCCCATTAAATTATGACATCCTGCATGGTTCTTTTAATTTCATTTGTGATGTCTCTCATAATTGTTAGACTAGAAGATAGAAATTATGAGTGAAAAACAATGTGATGTATCTCCTAAAACTAAAAGGAGGAATGAAATGAAATCAAATAATATGACATGTGCGAAAAGAAAGATCCAGTGATTTTATAGTGATATGTCCATGTCTGCTAAGAGTCTTCTAGTGCCTCGTTGCAGAAAACTCAATTCAAACTGGCTAAAGCAAAATAATCTCTATATCCCTAAAGACTGTTCTTTACACCCCCCTTTTGGTACCAGTGTCTGCACTCATAAGAATATTTGGATTGCTAGTACCTGAAACTGATTCTGACTTCATCAGGAAAAATTTCTTTGGGAGGACATTAAGTAGTTCATTAATTTGATGAGACCTGAAAAAACAAGTTCTAGAAAGAGAAGAATCTAGAGCAGAACCAGGGTTCTAGATGTCCAATACCAAAGCATAGTCTCTGAACTACCTTTAGTAGGAAGTTTTACCAAACCTTGCATTACTCTGCTCAGGATACACAGTTCTAGGAGAGAGATCAAGCCATTTGATTACGTCTTGGCTCTGCAAAGAAAATCGGATTTCTGTTACCAAGTAAGTACTTTACAGATGACAAAGTGCTTCAAAGAAAGTAAATTTGTTACTAAGGTAGAAAATATAACGATTGTTTCCTGATTCATTTACTTGCAGGGGTTATTTATTGTGGTATATGTCCCTACCAAAAGCAGGGGGAAGGGATATTAATCAGTCAGAACAACATTGTTTATTACAAATTGTTTGACTTCAAATCTTATTGACATAGCTTATGCAAAAACTGAAAATAATCGGAAAGACATTAAAAGTGTGCCTTCCCAGGACAGAACCCAGGGCTAAGAATTGGAAGATGGTCAGAAAGCAGTAGCATTCCACTTGGCTCTCAGTTTGAATTTGGTAAATAAATGTACCTTGGAACTAGAAAAAAAAAAGAAAGAAAGAATTCAGTGAAATGATTCATGAAAAATGCTTAGCATAGTGCCCAGCTTATGTCAAATGCTGAGTGTTACCTGAAAGCTGTTACTAAAACACATTCACTTTCTTAAATGTCACTTAGTGTAGAACCTAAAGAGGGGAGGGAGGAATAATGTTTTTTAGTTTCTGTATTTCTTTTGAAGATTCACTGAGCATAGTTATTTTAGCCATAATTTATACTTCTGTTTCTACAGCATCACTCCAGATAATCTTGACACATCTTTATGGATAATCTAGATTTTATCTCCCTGTTCTTTCTCATGCTGTGTACAGTCTCCTTCAGTCTCTCTTTCTGTTGGCCCCACATCTGAGTTTGAATCAAAATTTTTCCCCTGATTTTAGCTGCAACTGAGTGGCAAGAAAAAATTCAAGGGCCTCTATGCTCTTAAAATGTGATACCTCTGTGACACTGGAATAAGAAATCAGTGCTCTTGAAATATGCCCATGGGAACGCCTTGTTTATGTTCTCACTCTTAAGTTGAGTTTCCCTTATTTCTTCTCTAGCATTTCTTCTTAAAAAGCCAAATCATAACAGGGAAAAGAGAGAGACTGTGAGATAGGAAACAGATAAAATTATATTCCTGAGCAGAGCCATCCTTCAGATCTAAAAAGATCATCCTACCCTGAATTTGCCCGATCTCATCTGAAAAGATCCCTTTATAATTTTATACACTTGTATATTGACATATACTTATGAAAGTGCAATTTCATCCACATTTTCTGTTTAATGGAAAATATCCCAGTTACTCTACACATGTTTAAAAGGTCTTATATGTAAATTAGAGTTTTGTCAGTAATTACCTGATTCGTTTTGTTCAAACAACTGTTACATCTTATTTTGTATCTCCCTTGGCAGGTTGCCTAGAGCATGGCACAAAATAGGTTCTGAAGGAAATGGGATATAATAGGAGAAAAGGAAGTAAAAAGGGAAGAAGAGATGGGGGTCTGGATAAGCCAGTCTTTAAGTAGATCAGTTGGGGGCCTAGATGCACTGTTTTGTCTATTGTCATTTCTCAGGAATATGGCCTCACTGTTAAAGCCCCACTTCAAGTTTTGCTGCCAGAAAAAAAAATCAACAAAATACAATTCACAGAAATATTTTAGAAAGTGATTCAGAGCATGATAATTTACCATTTACTAAGTAGAAATATTTTAGAAAGTGATTCAGAGCATGATAATTTACCATTTACTAAGTACTTGCTAATGTGTCTGGCACTATCTGTTTTATATACATTCTCTTTAATCCTCTCAACTACCCCTAAGAAAGGAACTCTTGTCTTCTTTCCATAGAAGAAAAACACAAAAACAAGAGTGAAGTCAGAGATTAAATGCCTTGTCCCAGCTCATAGAAAGTATAGTACCCCAGCTGCTCTGATTCTAAAGCCTGTGGGGATTACTCCAAAGCTGACATTCAGTTAGTGTGCTGCTAAAATATTGAAATCCTTTGGTAAAAGTCCCTGCCCTAAACCCCGAAAGCCCTGTGTCTTGACTGTACCACTACCGCCTCTACAACCACTATCCACAGGGCACTCTAGATTACCTCACCATCCAAAAACCGAAGGATAGGTGACCCAAAAAGGGACTTCCAGCAACCTACTCCAGAGCTGTGGCAGCTACCCAAATCCATCTTGATTAGTCAGTGTCATGCTGGAGTGGTGACTATGATACTTGACTGTTATCACAACTTTGTGTCATACTAGTTATCTGTCTCTAATACGGGGCTATTAAAATATACTGCCTGTGGTTAATTCCTAAGTCAATCAATCAGTATTGGGAAAGACCGCAGAACAACCCATTGAACGGGGACTTCTGTATGGGCCCTTTGCAATAGCAAACAGTCCTGCTTCCATCCAGCACTTGGACCCTTCCATCAAACACCTAGTCCCCTGACTC